CCTAGGTAATTGTGTGACCTTCTGCAAAGCACTTAAAACTCTTCATCTTTTCCATTATAAAATGGTCAAATCAATACCAACCTCATAGGATTGCTTTGACAATTTAGTAAACATTAACACAACAGAAATAAAAATGAAAAGAAGACCCGCAAACAAAATAAACTCCGCATAGACGATGATTTGAAACAAAGAATCCAGCAGCATCATTAAAAAAAAAAAAAATATATATATATATATACAGCAAAATGACAGCAATCAATTCATACCTATTGGTAATTACACTGAATGTAACTAGATGAAACGCACCACTCAAGAGACAAAGCAGAATAGATACGAAAACAAGGTCTTTCAATAGTCAATCTAGAGATCGAGACAGCCTCAGTGTCCATCAGCAGAAGAATGGTTAAACAGACTTTGGTACACACACACAATAGAACACTATGCTGCATTGAAGAATAACAACCAATCTGTTGAACACCTCACAAAATGGTTGAACCAGGAGGATATTATGCTGAGTGAAATTAGTCAATTACAAAAGGACAAATATTGTATGGGACCAATGTTGTAAAAAGTTAGGAAAGGGTTTGTTGATAAAAGAAGTAACCTATGATGGTTGTGAAAGGAGAGAAAATTATTCACGGTCTAGAAGGTAGATACATGTTAACATGGATGACAGAATAGGCAGTATGCGCAAGAGGGAGGTTATCAGAGGAAAGTTGAAAGTTGTGGGAAACAGAGAGAGGAGTGCATGGGTTAAAGAAAAGATAGGTAAATAATGTTAGCTCTTGGTACCTGGAAGGGATTGCAATCATTTTAATGAAGCAAATAATGTGATTTTTTTTTTTTTTAATGTAAAACTGTTGATCTGCTCTGTAAATCTTCACTCAATTCACAATAAAAGGTTAAAATAAATATCCTCCACAATATGTTTTATTTTAAAAAAAAGATGATTAAAAAAAAAATTCTTGGTACATACCAACCATTGCCACTGAGTCCATTCCAACTCCTAGGGACCCTGGAGGACAAAGTTGAATTGGTGCCCCATAGGGTTTCTGTGGAGTCCTGGGGTGGCACTGTGGGTTAATGCGCCAGACTGCAAAGTCGTTTGAACTGCAGGGTCGGCAGTTCAAGCTCACCAGCTGCTCCTCGGAAACCCTATCCAGTGTCGCTATGGGTCGGAATTGACTCAACAGCACTTAACAACAACAACACGGTTTCTAAGCTTGTAATCTTTATTAGACTAATTAGACTGCCACATTTTGCTCCTGCCAAGCAGCTGGTGAGTTCACACTGCCAACCTTTGGATGAGCTGCTGAACCCTTAACCACCCACTCCACCACCAAGGCTCCTTGATACAGAACCCGAACACTGCCGTCAAGTCTACTTGAACTCATCGCCACTTTATTTGGGGTTTCTGAGGCTATAAATCTTTATGGGAACAGAAAGTTTCTTCTTTCTCCTGTGAAGTGGCTAGTGGGTTTGAACTGCTGACCTCATGGTTAGCAATCCAGTGCTTATCCTACAATGGCACCAAGGCTCCTTTTGATATATAAAGCCGTCAGTAAATTGCAGCTAAAGTAATATTTATTATTGTCCACATTCATTCAATAAATACATGTCGAACCCTCTGTGTCACCATATGCTATGCACTATTATAATCAGCCCTAGGTAAATTGGTAAGAAAGAGCCATCTCTCTTGGAGCTTCTATTTTAGTAGGTAAGACAAACAATAAAAACTATGGTTTTCAAATAACGACGAGTGCTATGAAAAACACAAAACGGGATGAATGTGATCAAGAATTAGAGCTGAGAAAGCAGGTGACTTCGCTGTGGTTGACGGTAGTATTCTAGTAGAGACCTGCCACAAAGCAGTCTGGGAAGAACTCCCTCCGAAGAGTACAAGGAAAAGGAGAGATGGCTTGGTGTGTGTACAAGATTGGGCTGGAGCCAATAGAATGATCAGGATGAAGTTGTGGGGGTGGGGAGGTGGGGGATCACATTCTCAAAGAGCCTTGGAGACCAAGAAAGTGTAAAGGGAGACCACTAAATAGTTCCAGAGATAATAGGGACTCACTTGTGTTGTGGAAAGCCGTTTGGACTGCTGGTTGAAAACTGGGAAACCATGGGGCAGTGTCTGATAACGAGTGCGTGGCTGTGAGATGATGAGAGTAGGGAACTGTACTGGGCAGGAGAGACTCCAAGGTGACTACTCAGTTATAGACCTGGGTCCCTGGATGCATGGTGGCGGGTGGGAAACTGGCTTACCCCTCAACTTGGCAGGAGAGACTCCAAGGTGACTGCTCAGTTGTAGACCTGGGTCCCTGGATACATGGCAGCGGGTGGGAGACTGGCTTACCCCTTCTGAGGGGAGGACTGACCGGGCTGTCTGGAGGGGTTGGGAGTGTGTTGAGTTGGAGATGTCTGTGAAAACCAAACCACTGCTGTGGAGTTGGTTCTGACTCATAGCGACCCTGTAGGACACAGGAGAACTGCTCCGAAGGGTTTCGAGGCCATTTGTCTTTACGGGAACATTCTCATCTCCCACAGAGGGACTGGTGCCTTTGAACTACCAACCTTGCAGTTGCCAGCCCAGAGCTCAATCCACTGTGCCCCCAGGCCTCCTATTAGACATCTACACTTTAAAAGCCCATTTGGCTTGTTCCCTTTTGCTGCAACTTTTTCCTCCTTCTTATTACATCCAGACTTTGAAAATCAAAATCTTTATATCTTGAAGTTGTCATGTTAGATTCCCCCTCGCAGATGAAACAAACATAGTGTAGTATTGTGAATTTACTGGCTTAAGCAAGAGTGTACATCTCATGTTAGCCTGGACAGAATTCAGAAGAGCTCTGTACTTCACGCATCCTATGGTGACTTGGTTTCAAAATAAAGGATTAATGAGTATGATGAAAGCTATTCTTTGACACGAGTTTTAAATTATGTTTTGAGTGCTCAGCTGTATCTACTAAATATTTCCCAGGGTTTCTCTAGACCCCCAAATGTGATAGATTTGCTGTAAATATATACTCATTTTGAATTTTGACTTTGTTTGGCATCTTTTGGCTATGGTCTATACATACATATTTCCCTTTTGTTGTTGTTGTTGTTAGGTGCCATTGAGTCAGTACCGACTCATAGCGACCTTATGCACAGCAGAACTAAACACTGCCCGATCCTGGGCCAACCTCACTACTGTTGCCACACTATTGTTGTCCATCAATCCTGCCACTTGGCCAATCCATCTCGTTGGGGGTCTTCCTCTTTTTCTCTGACCCTCCACCTTACCAAACATGATATATTTTCCCTTATGCACTATTATTTTCTATTCTTAAATGTACCTCTGATGTATTAAGATTGTGATTGTTTACCCTAATCTTATTTTAATCCTTTAGGCTGGCAAGGTATAGAGGGAAAAAGCAAACTGTTTGGCATTCCCATTAAGGATAAATGAGGAAAGAAAACAAGTGGATGCAGGAAATTGACTTGTAATGATTATTTCTTAGCTAACTTCTTTAAAGGTTAGGGAACAAATCCAGTTTTATGTATTACAACCTCAGCAAATCTAAAATTTCCTTTGGACTGGGTTCTGTTTTTCAGTTCTCCATGGCTGCATAACTCATTACCCCAAACTGCCAGCATACAGCAGCTGCCTTTTATTTTCTAACAGGGTTTCTGGGCGTAGGAATCAGGAGCGGCTTAGTTGCGAGGCAGGGAGGGAGGCTCAGGATCTCAGAGGCTGGATCATCTGAAGGTTTGACTGGGGCTGGAAGCAGGACTAACTCATCAGCTGTTGATGGAGACCTTAATTCCATTCCTTACCATTTGGGCCTCACCACAGGGTTCCTGGATAAGCATTGGACTGCTGATCATAAGGTTGGTGCTTCAAACCCACCAGCCACTCCTTGGAAAACATGTATAGGGTGGCTGTGAGTCAGAATTGACTCGATGGCACTTAACAACAACAAACAGGGTTACCTGACCATCCTGTGACGTGGCAGACAAGTTCCCCAGAGCAAGTCCTCCAAGAGAGGAGAGAGTTGGTGTGCTCCGTTACTGTCTCCTGGCTTGTCTTGGGAGCCTGCTGTGAAAGGTTTTGGAAGTCACTTTTTAAGTGAGAAGCATTTGCATCACAAGTTTCTAATGTATATGGCCTGCTGTTCTGTTTGTGTTACTTTCTGCTTACAGTGTAATTTGCTACATTGTATTGAAATGTTGGGAAACCAGGTAGACTCAGCACTGAAGTCCTTTGACACTTCACAAAGGCTAGCGGTGAGAGCTGCAATAAGACTGCTACCTGGCTGCTACCTCTAGCAAGGTGCATCCTAATTTCTGCGGTGTTAGATGTGGAAAAGGAGCCCTAGTGGTACACTGGTTAAAGTACTCCAACTGCCTTTGGAAGCCATCTGCTACTCTATAGGAGAAAGATACAATCATCTGCCTTCATAAAGCTTTACAGCCTTGGAAACCCTATGAGACCGTTCTACACTGTCTTCTAGGATTGCTGTGAGTTGGAATGGACTCAATGGCAACAGGTTTGGGGTCTAAAACATGGTAGAGAACTTTCTAAGAAGTGAAGAAATGTGGCAAAAATCAAACGTCTCCCTCAATCCTGGGGCAGGTCCGTTACTAGAACTGCCTGCAGGTGGGTCTCTCCTGAGGGTTTTGTAACGCATGGAACTCACAGTCTGATGAGGAAGGAGGTAGAAATTTGGGGTTCATAACAAATACTGGGATTTCATTGTTTTTTAGTCAGTTAGTTGTTTGGTTTCAGAAATACAAACAAGGAAAAACCCCTCTTCTGTGGCTTTCTCTGGAGCCTTGGTGTGGCGCTGTGGGTTAATGTGCCAGACTACAAAGCTGTTTGAACTGCAAAGTCAGTGGTTCATGCTCACCATCTGCTCCTCAGAAACCCTATACAAGGTCACTATGGGTCAGAACTGACACGATGGCACTTCACAGCAACTTGGCTTTCTCTAATTTTTTTCTTTCTTTCTTTGAAGGAATAAAGATCATTGTCAACCCAGAATCCAAGGCAGTCTTGGCTGGACAGTTTGTGAAGTTGTGTTGCCGGGCATCTGGCCATCCTTTTGTACAATACCAGTGGTTCAAAATGAATAAAGAGGTAATTTTTAAAAACTCCTTTGTAATAAATACAAAGAGCAAATGGTAGAAAATTAGTGAGCATTAATGTCCTTGATGGAGCACTGGACTGCAAAGTCAGTTTGAATTGCATGATCGATAGTTCAAGCCCACCAGTCACTCCTTGGAAACCCCACACAGGGTCGTTATGAGTCAGAACCAACTTGACGTTATATGCGTTGATCTAAGTCCTAATGTGGCGCAGTTGGATAAGGATTGGACGGCTAATCACAAAGTCAGTGGTTCAAACCTACCAGCCAATCCTTGAAAACCCTATACGGGGTCGCTATGAGTCAGAACTGACGCTTAACAAAAACAGCAATATGCATTAATGAAATCAATTCTTGACTCTAAAATTATGGAAATTGGGAATTACTTGGAGCAATAACATTAGTAGGTATGAAACATCACCTGTACATTTTAATATATCAATACAAAAATTTTGCAACAATTTATATTCTAACAAAAACCTTTAACGAAAAGGTGTTCGAGGCTAAGTGGAAAGCTAAATCAATATTGTTGTTTTAAGTATCCCACATAATTATATCAGACCAAAAGGTATAAGCTATCGTTGTGCTGAAGTTCTGAAGTATAATTCTAGTTGGCAGAGGGGGACATTTATGTCTCCTGTAGAAGGATTATATTCCTACAACAAAAAATTTAAATCTTACTCAGAATTCTTGTTTTAAGAAAGTTCTCTGAGATTTCGTAAAAGAATCCTGCTCAAAAGCCAGGGGGACATTCAGAAGAGAATTTCAAACTCTCATGAATTCAGACGTCCTATAACCATGGTGTCGAGAAGAACCCTTGAAACTCGCCCTGAGATCATCTTTACACTGTAACCAAGATCCCCTGACATCTTCTTGAAACCACTTTGGCTTAATGTATTCTTTGAGCATTGTGTTCTTTGAAGATCTGTCAGTGTGGGATCATACTGATAACAACAACATAAAAGAATCACTAGGAACCTTGACGGGCATTGAGTTCATGTGGATGGGGAGGAACAGCTCAGAAAAGGGAGATGGGGGGAATGGTTGTACAACTTGAAGAAGGCAGTTGGTGTCACTGAATTGAACAGGTAAAAACTGTTGAATTGGGATGTGTTCTGCTCTATGTCTTCCCCAAAAGAGCATCAATATTGGAGTTCTCCATTTCCCACATCCACTTCCAGATCATCCCCCCCATCTTCTCCCTCATCCTTCACTCCTCATCCCCTTCCCTCTGAAACTATGCCTTGAAATGCCACCTTCTTTTCAATCTCTTATGCATAGCAATTCCACTTTCTCCCAAACTTGGTCCTGCATCTACACTGACAAATCTGAAACTTAGTAAAAGAGCCATTCTTAGATCATGGTCATTCCTCTAAGGGCGTGACCTTCCTTAGATGACATCCATGGTTTATACAATTACCTGTTCCCTTCCCTCAGACATAAGTATGCTGGAGTACCCATTGTCTGTGCACGCTTCAGTGCTGGGAGGACTGGTGGCCATCAGTATGAGTAAGCTGAATTCCTGTTGTCGCAGATTGTTGTCAGCATTTAATGCAGGGTGTTTTATGTGCTTCATCAAATGCCTGGGCTCTCAAGAGTGAAGGTGAAAGTTATTTTTACCGTGTTTTCCCAGTTTCAAATAGTACTCATTGAAATGAATACCTTCTTGATGTCTTGATAGAGAAATAATGGGAAAACCTGTGTTAGGTCTATGATTTGTAAAATGCATCCTGATTTGAGAAAGGTAGAGATGTCGGGGACGGCAGTTCATATTAGACTTGAAGAGTTGTAAAGGATATCAAGACTCTTGGTGTGGCACTGTAAGATCTGCACTGGACTGTGAATCACAAGGTCGGTGGTTCAAACCTATCAGCTGTTCCTCAGAAACCCTGTACAGGGTCGCTATGAGTCAGAACCAACTCTATGGTACTTAACAATAACAAAGGATATTAAAACACTTAACAGATTGCATCTCACATCGCTCTGACGCTGATAGGTCTATTTCAGGAGCCAGTCCTTCAACGAGTCCTTAGGGAGCCCCTGTTCTGTGCCAGTCATGTTCTAGGGCCCTGCTGGTAAAAGAGTGACTCTCGAACTTGTGCTCTAGTGGGGAGACTCGATCAGCAAATAAGCTTATTTCTGCAAGGTAAAAACGATGAAGAAAATAAACAATGATATCAGTGAGGAAAAGGGAGGCTATTTTTGAGAAGATGAGGAGGAAATACTTCCCTGAAAAGGCAGTGTTTTGGTAACAATATGAGATTGGAAAGGAGTTGGCCTGGCCCAGAACTACAGGAGCGAGCAGGCAGTTAACACCACACTCGAGTCCTCCTGCCGGCGACCTCCATCACCAGCATCACCGTGAGGGCTAAGCCGGGCACCTTCTCCCTTGCCCGCTGGTGACCGACTCTTGATTGAGACAAGGAATACAAATTGGTGATGTGCAAATGATGGAAACCAGAGTGCTGCATTTTATTTACATGCTGGCTATCAGATGCTGTTTATACTTCGAGCAAGGAAACACACACAGTGTCATGAGAATTTCACCCAGGTCAGCACAGGGACATTTGGCCTTTCGTTTTCTGGGCAAGAGTAGTGGTGGTGATAGGGCTGTATGTGAAATGACACTTTTCCAAACTCTGTCATTTTAGAAATACTGTCATTTAGACCTATTTGTCACTCACAAAAAAGCCCATTTTAATAGGACCTAGAGTGATGTACCCCAAGTGGAAGAGGCCTCGTACCTGAGTAATCTAGTCCTTGCTCCTTTTTACTTCCTTCCCTTTGCTGGAAAAGCTTCAGCTCCATCTCTTTTGCTGTCATTTGAACCAATGAAAGAAATGGAAGAATAAAAAGAAGAACCACAGAAGGGAATTCTAGACAAACACAAAGTCCTTGAGGTCCAGCGTGGTAGCTTCTTGGAGCAAGGGGAAGATTGGAGAGTGGAGGCTGGAGAGGAAGCCAGGGTTCAGAAGAGGTAGGACTCTGTGAGCCCTTTAATGGAGTTGGAATTTGCTTTCTGAATGAGAAGCCTCGAAAAATGGACTCCTGGTATGGCACAGTAGGATCACCACTGGACTGCTAATCACAGTGGTTCAAAAGCTCAGCAGTTCAAACCCACTAGCTGCTCCTCAGAAATCCAAAACAGGATCACTATGAGTCGGCACCAACTTGACGGCACTTAACAACAAAAAAACAAGTGACATGATCTGGTTTCTGTGTATAAGGCCCAGACTTGCTGCTTGAAAGGAAATAAGGAAAAAGAAAGAGTTACCTAGTGCCTGTACCAACCTGGAAATAGTGGTTTTGTGGACTAGGCTCTGTCCGTGGACATCAAGCCAAGTGGGTACTGTATTTATCTCAGAGATGGAGTTAACCAGTGTTGTTTTCAAGATAGCTTATATGTGGAGCATGAGAAAGAAGGAAGAAGGGTTGAGGATGACGCCGGTGTTTTTTTACTTGAACAGCTGAGGCTGTATTTACATTATGTACTGAGGTGTTGAAAATGGAAGAGGAATAGATGTTAGGAGAAAATCAAGCATTTGGTTTTATACATGATAAGTTTGCAAAGCCTGCTAGATATCTAAGTTAAATGCTAGCTAAGCAGTTTAGAAGCTTAACATTGAGTTTGTGTAGGAGCAAAGAGACTAAGAAGAATCTACCAGAGATTTGAGGAAGACCAAGACAGACTGGTATGAAAGCCTATGGAAGAAGGAGTGACTGACCAGCATTCTCAGTACTGCTTAGAAGTGTGTGTGTGTGTGTGTGTGTGTGTGTGTGTGTGTGTGTGTGTGTGTGTGTGTGAAGGGCCAACGGAAATTTGGTTGGTGTTTTTGTGTAAGGAAGAAAAAGTTTTAAAAAAGCCAGTTTCAGCCATTCGAGACCTCGTGTGTGTCAGAGTAGAACGATGCTCCATAAGGGTTTCAGTGGCTGATACTTTGCATATGTAGATCACCAGGCCTTTCTTCTGAGATAGAAAATACTCCCACCCACTGCCATCAAGGAGCTCTGGTAGCGTAGTGGTTACGAATCGGGCTGTGAACCACAAGGTCAGCAGTTCGAAACTACCAGCTGTTCCGTGGGAGAAAGATGAGGTGTTCTGCTGCTGTAAAGATTTACAGCCTCAGAAACCCTGTGCAGGGTTGCTATGAGTCGGAACCGACTCCAAGACACTTAACAACAACAACAACTGCCATCAAGTAGTATCCGACTCTTAGTGGTCAAAGGGGATGGGATCAAGTGTCCAACAAGTGGCCTTTGTTAGGAAGACACATCTACCATTGTAACCACAGTGAGAGCGTCAATAGTGAACAGGTCTGTGGCCTGGTAGCAGGAAGAGGAGAATGTTTCCATCCAAAATTAGTGCCAATAAGAATGATTTTACACCAGCCATAAACGATGGTGTAAAACCAGTGATCTCCCGTGTAAACTATCACTCTATTCACAATAAAAACTTTAATTAAAATAAATAAAAGATTGCTGGAGGTTTCGGGTAAGATAACATATGTGCTGACATACCAGGAGGAAAGCAAAGTGGGGTAACCATAGGGTTGCCAGGCAGTGCCTAGTGCAGCCTGTCAGCCATGGCATCAGATTATCAACAAAATGCTCTTACTCTGGGGCAAACACTGAAAGGGTAGAGGGTTCAGTTCAGTTGTTATGGGCATGGAGAGGGAATGGGTGTTCTTGCTGAAGCTACCTGCAAGGGATTGAGGCACCTGACTAACTCCTCTCATAATGCGCAACAGTTAGCTGGAGCTGATAAATTCATGGGTAGACAATGGTAGGAGACCCGGATGAAGTGGATCAGCCCAGGGGAAAAGCTGTGAAACCCTGGACTGGCCATGCCTTCCCATCATGCAGGTGCTCTGCTCCACCCAGGCCTTGTAAGAAGGTCAAGGTTGTTTGATTAATGAGCCCCCTCCTCATTGAATTTCACAGATGAGAAAATGGGGTCCTGAGATGAACTACCTCATCCCTATGTTCACAGCTAAATTGGTCAGAAAGGAAATTAGGTAGCCAAGTGTCATTCTCCCTGTGTTTGCTCCACCCTACCTTGGTGTTTGTCTTCTTGTATGGTTATTGTTAAGTACCGTGGAATCAGTTCTGACCCATAGTGACCCTGTGTAGGGTTTCCGAGGAGCCAGCTGGTGAGCTTGAACCATTGACCTTGAAGTTCAAACCAACCTTGCAGTCCAGTTCATTAAGCCACAGCATTACACAAGGACTTAACTGGTTACTTAACTCAAAAATAGCTCCACTCCAGGTTCTTTAAATATCAACAACTTAACTGGTTTAAATGACAAAACAGTTCTGAATAGCAGAAAACAGTGTTGTTTTGAACTCACAGATATTTTAGAACTTGATAAAGAACACTTTCCAAAGTCCCAGACTGAAATCATAGATTTTGTACATTTTATTAAATGTGATTTTGATGCACCGTTCACTTGTATTTTCTTACTGATTCTTTCACAGATTCCATATGGGAATTGTCCTGAACTAATTTTTAAAACAGTACACGTCAAAGATTCGGGATTTTATGTCTGTCGGGTTAATAATACCAGCACCTTTGAATTCAGCCAGTGGTCACAGTTGGAAGTCTGTGATGTCACAGAAATTACTGAAAACTCTCGGAGTAAGTGATAAAATAATGTTGAGATGGAGATTGCTTTATTTCATTTTATTTAAAATTTTTGCCTTGTCAAAATTGTCAAAAATAATACAAAAAGCTCGCATATGTGCTTGATTCTAATATTTGTCTTTATTCTTTCTCCATGGACATATGAGGGAGCTTCAAAAAGTTCATGGAAAATTCCCATGATTTCTTAATTCCATTTTTGATGCCCTTTTTTTGAAGTCTTCTAATATGTACTAATGTTTTAGGATGACGCTGAACCCTTCTCAGCCTGGTCTCCTGCCAAGGGCTTCTAGCTTACCATCTTCCATAGCCTCTGTCCTACCCTAATCTGTACTTACTCTTAATGTGTACTTATTAATGTTCCTTTTCTCCTATAATGCCTTTCCTTTTCATAGTTCCATGACTTAGCATCACTTCATCCAAGTGTGATTGGATCCCAGTCAAACATCTGTGAGGGGGGTAGGACTCAGTCTCCAAAAATATTGATGATTTGTCCAGTAATTTCTGTCTTCTCAGACTATTTCTATATATTAATGAGCTTTCACGTGCTTATACATGGAACCATATTATACACGTTTTCAGCTTCTTTATGTAACACTGGATTATGAGCATCTGTCCATGACAATGCATTGAAGTCTCAACAATTTTGTATTACAGCTATACACTTAAACCACCATTTAGCTAATAGGTCTTTCTGTGATGAACACTTAGGATGTTTCCATCTTTGCTGCTTTCATTTTAATTGCTTTGTGTACCATCTCTGCCGATACCTTCTATCATTCATTCAACAAATACTTACTGACCAAATGCAATGTGTTAGACCCCAAGCTTCATGCTAAAGACTCAGAAAGTAGTTGGGAGTTTAATAAATGGATCCTGATACCTGTCTTGAGAAGAAATGTGAGAGAAAACCCATCCCTGTGTATTCAGTTGCTGACAATGAAACTCTTCATTTCAATAAGCCACAGAGCTGGTTTGTGTTGAAGGTGACTATTACTCAAGATGCCAGTATGAGGGGAGTCTCAAAAAGTTCATGGAAAAATTCCGTTATCTTCCAATTCCATTTTTCCACACATTTTTTTAGCCCCCTCGTAGGTTGTTTACCCCTACAAAAAAAGATTCCGTAGCTAAATGCATTTGGAAAACAAGAGTATTTTCCCCTCTAAAATTCACACTACACATTGACACTTTGAAAGTTCTGAGGAGTTGCTACTGAAGAAATCCTCAACTTGATGTAAACCAGAATTTCTAATATATATATATGCCTCTTATCCAGAACATTTCTTAATAGGGCTTGGAGCGTGTTTCCAGGAGCAGAGTGTGGGAGATATTATAGGTTATCAAAACTGAAAAGTTAAACTTCAGAACAGATCAGTTTTTTAAAAGCTTAAAGGGAAACATCATTTTTATATTTTACTTACAGATTTTATTTTTGTGATAATATTTTTCTTTTCATTTAAGGAAGTTTGGACTGTGTCACTGAATCCAAGTTGCAAATCTGTGTTGAACCAACGTCGCAAAGGCTGAGACCAGGCAGAACACTGGTTTTACAGTGTATTGCTGTAGGAAGCCCGATTCCTCACTACCAGTGGTTCAGAAATGAATTACCATTAGCGCACGAGACCAAAAAGCTATATGTGGTAGGAAGTTTGTTTTCTGGTTAGTTCAGCAAATGGTACAATTGAAATTTATGATGAGCATTTAAATGAATCTTCTTTGGGATGTTTCAGTGTTTTCAGTATTTTTATTTCGAGTCCCTTGTTATTTAATACTTACTGGCATGCATTTTTGCTAAAATGCTAGAATTCAGTACCAACCCCATCTCAGAGTTTATACTTAAATATCTGATGTTTGCATCAGACTCATCCCTTTTGAATCATTCTGTCATTTGCCTGATGATGTTTAGTCTCATGAGTGAAAATAATCTCAGTATCTCTGCTGTTGACACAGGTGCCGTGCGTAGATCTGGAACATCAGGGAACCTACTGGTGCCGTGTGTATAATGAACAAGACACACAAGATAGCAGGAAGGTAGACATCATCCTAGGTAAGCAGTATCGCTCAGCGTTCCAACAGGTGCACTAGAACGTAAACTACATAGTGTGAGATGTCTAAGCAGCAGGAGTCTGCTTTTCACCCCAGACTAGTTAACTGCTTTTGTGTGTTGCTTATACAGAAATTTGAGAGATTGCATACTAAACTCATAATCTAGATTCACATACAGTGAGTAAAAGGAATCAGAAGAAAGCCTGTTTTATTTAGATTATTTCAGTTATTTTTCAGTTGTATCGCTAAATTTTTGAATATGACAAATATTCTTTAAAGTTTTGGCTATTAAAAAATTTTAAGTCTCAGTGGAATAAAACACTTGTAAAGCATTTGTAAAAAGCATAAGCACCCTATAAAGGAAAGATCTGTTTGAATCAACTATCCCCCCCTCCCCCATGAGCTGCACAGTGTGGGCATTCATTGTATTTCAGTGTGATAAATTTATAGTGATGTTAATACCAGCAGGAAATGTTGATCTGTTGGCTTGCCAACATATTTCTGTGATGTCTGTGTCTCTGTTTGCTGACTGGCTTTCCTTCCTAAGACCATGAATTACAATCGATGCAAATTTGTTTTCTTTGGAACAAGGACGAACAGATGAGGCAGTGGAGTGCACAGAAGGTAGCGTAATCCGCTGGTTTGGGAACCAGATACCTGCATGCTGGTTATCTTGGTGGGGTGCCTAGCTTACCTACTGCAGTGATGGAAAAAATACAAGCTACAGAAATGATCCTGATGAAAGAATATTACAGTTTCATCTTTGAAGTGACACTCTTCAGCTGATACGCTGTAAAGATGACCATTTTCAGTGGGTTTTCTCTTGTGTCTCAGAATCCAGGTCCTGAGGCTCCTCCTAGGAATCCTGCCATTTGCAATGTCATCGTCCTGATAGCTGTTCTCTTGTAACAGATAGAGGGCTGTACTGTCGTACGTGCAGGTCATGGGAAAACTCCATTATCTCTTCATTCCATGTCTCCATGAGCTCTTTGAAGCCCCTATCTTATATTTATTTAGATTATTTTATCTATCCATTAACCACGATATGATGCCTCTCAAATACAAATGTAATTTCTATAAAAGTCATGGTGGGAGTTTTACTATTTAACATGTATACCAAACATTACGTATACTGTTTTAATATAAAGTTGAGGAGATGTATTTATTGAAACTACCAGGTTGTCAGTTATTCTACCTTGTCAACTTTACCTTCTATGTAAAGAGAAGTGAAATTCCATTTCAATATAAAACTTACGATTTGAATGAACCAAAGCATCACACATAAATTGTAAATTGTACAACTTCAAATTACCTTCCCTTAGTGTGATGTCACGTTGCTTTGGGAGATTAGGTTTGTCGATAGCAAAGTATTTTTTCAATCTCTGCCTCTTTACAATATTACGCAGCCTTAGACCCTACTTGGATAAAGGGAGAAAACTTTTAAGTCTTGTCTTTCCTGGTTTTTCTGCCCTTTATGTTATCACTCTGAAAGCTTGTTTTGATCCTAATCCACTATGATGAGCAGGAGTTCTCTAGCAGGGATGGAGTTTCCCAACGCTGCAATTTTCAGCTGTACACAAGGGAATGGATCCTAATCACACTCCTCCTCTTCCTTCTCTTACTCCTTTGTGTCTAACTGCATGACCGTTATAACTCTTAACATTGACAATTTCTAAGAATGCATGCTTGACTTCAGGATAAGGCAGGGTAAAGACCCACCTGGAGCTGCTTCTAAACCTGCTCTCTAGTGTGTTGCTGTGCTCGACCAGCTATTAAGCAGTTGTTTTCAAATAATACTTCAAAATTGTAGAAGGAAAAATTAGATCTAACTTTCTAAATAGTTTGCAAATTTAAGAGATGTTTTTTAGTGGGTGGGGTGTCACATCGTGAAAAGTGTTCTCCATTTCATTTTTTGTATTGTATTAAAATAAAGATAAAGGAGCTCTGGTAGCATAGTGGTTACGAATCGAGCTGTGAACTGCAAGGTCAGCAGTTAGAAACTACCAGCTGTTCTGTGGGACAAAGATGAGACTTTCTGCTCCCATAAAGATTTACAGCCTCAAAAACCCTGTACAGTTCGCTATGGGTCGGAATCAACTTGACAGCACTCAACAACAACAACAACAAAATAAAGATATTAGCCGGGAGGTGGTGGGGAGGGGACGTTGCTGAATAGGTAAACCACAGGAAATTTTTAGGGTGCTGAGAATATTGTGTGGTTATAGTTAATGGTGAGTACTTGTATGCAAATTCTTTAAAATCATCTAGAAGGCTTCAGGATATCCCAGGATGGAATGCAAAATGTGACAAAATAATTTAAACGTGGAGCTACCTCTGGGAATGTTGTTGTTGTTTTTTGGTGCCATCGAATCAGTTCTGACTCACAGTGATACTATGCACAACAGAACGAAACACTGCCCAGTCCTACTCCAACCTCATTAGTTCCTGTTTGAACCTATTGCTGCGGCCACTGTGCCAATCCATCTCATTGAGTGTCTTCCTCTTTTTCTCTGACCCTCTACTTGCCAAACATGATATCCTTCTCCAGGGACTGGTACCTCCTGATAATATGTCTGAAGTCTGAGAGATGAAATCTGGTCATCCTGGCTTCTAAGGAGCATTCTGGCTGTCCTTCTTCCAACACATATTTGTTTATTCTTTTAGTGGTCCATAATACTTTAAATATTCTTTGACAATACCATCACTCAAATATCAAATGCATCGATTATTCTGCAGTCTTCCTTATTCACTGTCCAGCTTTTGCATGCAAATGAGGTAATTGAAATACCATGGCTTGAGAATGAGTGGAGTGTCAGACTAAAGCTAAATGAATTGTACATGAACACTGTATCTACTCTGGTTGGTACCATTCTATGTTGATTTCACATTGCATACAGCACTGAAGTTCCTGCATAATATGAATAGTGTAATATTTCCAATTGACTATTAATAGTAATTCTTCATAAAATTTATAAAAAACAAAAATGGCTGTACTGTCAGGGATATTGGTTTAGATTGTTTGACAATCTAAAGGCTAAGACAGCCTCTCAGATGCAAATGTAGATCTATCAAAGTTTTAGGGGAGGAGTTTTATTATACAACATATGCTTTCCAGATATTAAATATTAATCTACTTATGTCAGGTGGGTTTAGGACTCACGATTCTGTAGCCACTAGAGCTCCCCAAAACATACTACCCTCATCTAACCCTGGTGTATATGATAAACACTGGGCTGCTGGTTGGAAGTTGGTGGTTCAAACCTACCAGCTGCTCCTCGGAAACCATACACAGGATCACTATGAGTCAGAACCAGCTTGACAGAGCTTAACAAGAGCAAGGAGCCTAACAGGCAGGAGAAAGCTGGTGGTGCTCTGCTTCTGTAAGGGTCTGCAGCCTGGGAAACTGTGGGCACTTCTAACTCTGTCCTGTGGGCCGCTCTGTGTCAAAATCGACTGGACAGCAATAGCTGTGGTTATTTTGGCCCTGGAGCCACAACAGACACATCACACAGATCCCAGCAGATAAATACCTGCCAAATACCTGACCTGTGCTGCTCAAAACTCCAGACCATCAAAATCAAAAAGGCTGGAGGCTGCGAGATCCTGGGAAAGAAGGGAGTTAACAGCATCAGGAGAAAATTCACGATCAGACTCAAGTCTGGACTTTATTTGATACTAATGTGCCCTGGTGGTGCAGTGATTAAGCGCTTAGCTGCTAATCAAAAGGTTGGGGGTTCCAACCCACCAGTGACTTCAGGGAAGAGAGATGTGGTCTGCTTCCATAAAGACCACAGCCTCAGAACCCCATGGGGCAGTCCCCCTCTGCCCTGTAGTTGGAATCAGCGCAACGGCTCATCCCCACAGTGAGATTCAAGAAGCGAATAGTTGGGGTGACAGGCAGACCTCCTCACTGATTGTTTTTGTCCTATAATTTGTCCTGTTAACATCTGAAACTTTGAACAAATGATGACTTTACTTAGCCTTCGCCATTTAAAGAAAGCAATAATACCGTAGAAATAAGTCTTAAATGACATCCGCAACATATCTTTTCCTACTCACTGTTTGCACGGCTTCTCACTGAAGGTATTTGAGAAATTCTGAACTAATATGGCATTGCAACGTGATTTTATAGTTCAAAACCTGAGTCTTTGATTAGTCTTATGTATGGTGAATTGGCATTTTGACTGTCTTAAATTAATGTATTTTCTCTTACCTCATTTCAGATGAATTAAATAACCTTGGGCATCCTGGTGAGTAATGCAAATAAAAAATTAGTTTTAAATTGTTGACGATAATAAGTTTTCATTGCTGAGTTATTGAATACAATTAAAATACTGTAGATACTCTTAGCTGTAGTCATTGTGGAGTCCTGGGATGGCACTGCTGTATCAGCACTGGACTGCTAACCACAAGGTCAGCAGTTCAAACCCACCAACTGCTCCTTGGAAACCCTATACTGACTCAACAGCACTTAACAACAACAATATAGTAATAATAGTAAGGCGCTCTGGTGGCACAGATAGTTCAACACTGAGCTGCTAGCTGTAGATTAGCAGTTCAAACCCACCATCCACTGTACTGCAGAACCATGTGCCAGTCAGCTTCCCATAAAGATTTCTAACCTTGGTCCTGTGAGGTCACTGTGAGTCAGAATCATCACAGCAGCAGGGTTATAAGGAGCCCTAGTATAATGCAGCAGGATAACACTACACTGCAAGGTCAGTTTGAACTGCAAGGTTGATAGTTCAGACCCATCAGCTGCTTCTTGGAAACCCTATACAGGGTCGCTATAAGTCAGAATTGACTTGACGGCATCTAACAACAATGATACAGTAAGTTGTTGTTGTCGTTAAGTGCCGTGAAGTCAGTTCTAACTTTTATAGTGACTCTGTACGGGGTTTCTGAGGCTGTAAATCTTTACAGGAGCAGAAAGCCTCATTTTTCTCCTGCGGAACAGCTGATAGTTTCAAACTGCTGACTGTGAGATGAGCAGCCTGATTCGTAACCACTACACTATCAGAGCTCCTTAATATATTAAGAGTTAGTACCTTTTATCTTCATAGAAATATCCTAATTTAGTGTTGAAATTATTATGTGGAGTAAGTACAATGTCATGTAAGTAAAAAGATTAAAAATAGTATAGATTACAGAGCAATAAGATAGGAAGGGGTACTGAGGCAACATAGAGCATCTTAATTTTTTACCATTGTGTGTGAATCAATGACAACTCAGAGCGACCTTCCAGATCAGAGTAGAGCTGCCCCCTGGGCTTCCCAGGCCGTGACCCTTATAGGAGCAGATCGCCAGTTCTTTTCACCTGTAGAACCGCTGCTGGGCTCGAACTGCCAGCCTCTTGGCTAGCAGGCAGCAGGGTGCCTACAACCACCATTCATCTTCTGCCATGTTCACGGCTTCCTCTCTGGTTATCTCCACTCTTCCCAGATGCACTGTACAGTTAGAGTTTTGAACGTGAACAGTGTGTGAGGAAAGCTTGTAACCAGCTCCTGTGGCATTTATAGGACTGTGGATGCTAACAGGGTGTGTGTCTGCCCTGGTAGACACTGAGGTGCCTGTGCTTGTCTTCCTGGGTGGCCCTCCTGGCCAGGCAGTGTTTAATTCGGGTGGTGAGGAACATCAACTCGGGCACAGGGTGGCTATGAGTCGGAATTGACTGGTTTTCCATTCTATGTCGGAATCCAGATTTGCTACGCTACCCTTAGGCAAGCGTCTTAAACTCTGTCAAATGGAGTCAAGTGAGGATTGGTTAAACATAAATCACATAGGATTGCTGGTGTGGCATTGTAGAATAAACACTGGAGTGCTAGCCACAAGGCCGGCAGTTCAAACCCCTCAGCTCTTCCTGAGGAGAAGATGAGATTTTCTGTTCCCTTAAGGATTTCAGCCTCGGAAACCCCACCGAGTGAGTCACTAGGAGTCGGAATCAGCACGATGGCCGAGAGTGAGTGAGTGAGTGAAGCTTTCAGTCAAAGGTCACATCTGTGCTGCTGCTGCTGCTTGCCCAACACTGCCATGGTTTTCAGATGATGATTCCACCTGGCATTTCCCATGGTTTCCCCCAGCTATGTCATTCAGTCATACAAAGGACCTCCCCTACCTTGTTCCCATGTATGTGTCTTTGTCGGGTATTTGAAAATCTTAAAATTGTAAATTCACTGCATTACAACTCTGCATTTTAAAGATGCATGTCAGAGATACCATCAATGTTACTGTTTGTTTTTTTCCATATGTATTTAAGGGTACTTTTATCATGGATAATAGCAACTGATACTTGTACATTTGTGTCTTTTTATAGATAATAAAGAGCAATCCAATGACCAATCTTTGGGTGAGTAGAGCTATAGAGTTCACAATTTGTCAGTCAGAACTCAGGGAATCCAAAAGGGATTTCATTTTCCCTATTGCAGTAGACTTGACTCTGACTCGAGTGACCCCATGTGTATCAGAAGAAAGCTATGCTCCATAGGATTTCCGTAGGCATAAAGCTGGGCTCCATAGGATTTCCATGGGAATAAAGCTGGGCTCCATAGGATTTCCATGGGAATAAAGCTGGGCTCCATAGGATTTCCATGGGAATAAAGCTAGGCTCCATAGGATTTCCATAGGAATAAAGCTGGGCTCCATAGGATTTCATAGGAATAAAGCTGGGCTCCATAGGATTTCCAGTGGCAGATTTTGTTGTTGTTGTTGAAAGAGATCTCCAGGCCTTTCTTCCAAGGCATTTCTGGGTAGGATTGAACCTCCAACCTTTTGGTTAGCAGCTGAGTGCATTACCCATTTGCACCATGCAGGGATTCCCAACAAACTTCCAAAAGTTTATGGAAATTTTTCATTATCTTTTCATTCTATTGTTCCGTGAACTGCTTGAATCTCCCTTGCATTTCTCTTGTTGTTGAGTGCCATTGAGTTGGTTCCGACTCATAGCAACCTTGTACCGGGTTTCCAAGGTGTGGCTGTTGCTGGGTTTGAACGACTGACCTTACAATTTACACTGATCCTGCAGTCCTGAGTACACCCTACAGCGCCACACCAGGACTCCTTATCTGTACTTATGTGTTATTGTTGCTGTTAAGTGCTGTCAAGTCAGTTCTGACTCTTAGAGACCCTGTGTAGGGTTTCCAAGGAGCGGCTGGTGAGCTTGGACCGCCAACCTTGCAGTTCACACTGACTGCAGTCCAGTGCATTAACCCACAGAGGCCACACCAAGTACATACTTACATACTAATATATGGGGTCCTGGTGGGGTGCTGCAGGTTATTGCGTTGGACTGCAAGGTCGGTTTGAACCAAAAGGTCAGTGGCTCAAGCTTACCAGCTGCTCCTCGGAAACTCTATAGAGGGTCACTGTGAGTTGGAACCACCTTGATGGCACTTATATATGCTGGTTGTGGTGTGCCATGGAGTCAGTTCCGTCTCACAGCGACCCTGGGTTTCCAAGACTGTAAATCTTTACGGGAGCAAAAAGCCTCATCTTTCTCCTGCGGAACAGCTGGTAGTTTCAAACTGCTGACCTTGAGGTTCAAGCCCGATTTGTAACCACTACACTACCAGAGCCCCTTATTATATATAGTAACTAGAAAAGGGTCTGGCAGACTAAAGCAGCAACAATATGAACTTTTCTAGTGTTTATGAATATTAACATATTTCAGATGAGATAGCATGAGTAACAGGGTTAGAATAATTAGACATGGAATCACTGATGTAACATTGTACCAGTACGTTGCATTTTAAGCTTGGAGAGGATATCTAGGATCATGTAGTTAAATTATCTCTCTGAAATGGTTTCATTATTATACTGTTAATCAAATGGCGTTTGTTTCCTTTTTCCAATAAATGGTTTGTGTTCTTCAAGAAGTTGTGGGTGGCTCTTACAGTAAATGTTTTTCTACAGAAACTCTCTTCCATTCATTTTATCACTTAAAAGCCATCATAAAACATTTACATAGTTGTCGAGTTTTGAAGTTCTCTTTGATTCCTTACTCTTACCTCCCCAGATTCATGTTTTACTGTTTCTTTTTCTAAAGTCTGGCTTTTCCTTTCCCTTTCTTCAACTAATTTCCTCAAGTAGGTCTTTGTCTTCTCTTACTCCAACTGCTGCTGTCTACAGCTTCTCTATTCTACATCCACCCCAGATGGCCTATCATCTACACACGGTATTGCAAGTAGATTGGCAAGGTAAGATTTGCTTATCCATCCCCTTTAATATGAAATTCAAGAAAACGTTCCAAGACTTCTTAGGACCTAGCTGTTAAAATCATTAAAAGAGTTATGGACGATTATTGATAAACACATCTTAAGTCCAGTCAGGTAGTTCACAATTTGTTACACCTTTTGCAATTTACAGACTCTACTACCTTTTCTTTCCTAAAGAGATAACAAATCCAAAAGCAAAAGAGTTGACCATAACAGAAACATCTCTCCATACTTAAGTTTGACAGATTGCTAGCTTTATTTATTTATTTATTTATTTTTGCAGGAGTGGTTCTTATTTTTCTCAGATACACCGTGACTTAAAAAAAAAAATTTTTAGTGTATGTTTATAATTGTTTTCTGCTGATAAAACTTATCGAGGATGTGTATTGGGAGTCCTGGTGTGGCGCTGTAGGTTAATGCACTGGACTGCAAAGTCAGTTTGAACTGCAAGGTCAGCAGTTCAGGCTCACCACCGCTCCTTGGAAACCCTATGCAGGGTTGCTATGGGTCTGAACCATTTCTATGACACTTAGCTGCAACAACAACAAAAGGATATATGTTAGGATTAAATGATAGTATTCAACGGGGTAAAGCTGGAAGCACTGTGACTGGTAAGCAATTTGCTACCTGAAAGGAGCCCTGGTGGTACAGTGGTTAAAGCACTTGGTTGCTCACAGAAAGGTGGATGGTTAGATTCACCAAGCACTCTGTGAGAGAAAGAAGTCTCCGTCTGCTTCCATAAAGAGGGCAGCCTTGGAAACCCTATGGGCAGTCTCTGTCCTACAGGGTTGCTATGAGTCAGAATGGTGACGGGGTGGGTGGGTTTGGGGTTACCACCTGAATGCCTTTGGAAATCTCTTGCACTAAGCTGTTGTTAGAGTTAGGAACCCCGCAAGGTCTTGTGTCCTGTCCCCTCACGTCAGAGTAGACTGAGCTGAATCTGTCACCGTATCAAGGTTGGGTCTGAGCTCTGAGAGAGTTGGGGGTTCACCACAATAGGCACTGAGTGAGGTGGTGTTTTCTCCTGTGGCTGTAACCTTTATAGGAGCCAATCGCCAATCTTCCTCCCACAGAGCACCTGGGCGGGTTCAAAACACCAACCTTTTAGTTAACAGCCAAGCTAGGGCTCCCAGTAGATTAAATTGCCTTGATAACTGATGTTTTCTTTTGGATAAGAAAAGAGATTGCCGTTTGTATAGGACATAATTGTCATTTCATTTTTACCCAACATGCGTATATTCAAGAACAGGCAGTCTATAAGCAGAATAACGACTCAGAAGAATCGAGGCTTTTCAGATAGTGGGTATTTTCCACCACTTTGAGAGTCACAGGCTTTGAGTTGGTGCTAGTTCTTTTTGAACATTAGACTTCAGTACTCTGCCGAGAGAACTGGACCAGTTCAGAGATTTCTGGGGAAATGTCATCATCTTAGTAATTCACAACATCTGAAATTGCATTGCACATGGCAGACAAGGAGCCAGCGGTGAGGTTGTTTGTTGCTCTCACTTTCATGAGCACAGCATTGATAATAATTGCCACATAAGCCACTTACCAGCACTGATCTGGTGACAGGGCCTGTGGCAGGAGGATGTGGCCCTACATTGCTGCCCAGTGTGGCTCTTCCAAGTACACACACACCACCCACTCCAGCCCCTGGTGTCTCCATCACCAGTGATACCGCCACTTGTTCTGCACACAGCCCACTGCCAACCCTCCAGAAAAAATGAAGAATTATGGTCATGGGATGTCCTCAAGTCTTGACCTTTGACCCACCCCAGGCTAGCAGAGGTCCAATTCTGAAGCCCTTCTAAAATAAGTGTTAAGCTAAGTGCAGCTTTCCATAATTCTTTTTGGACAGGCTACTGACCTGGTGTAGCTACTTGGTACTTTTGAAGACACTGGTATGGAGGTGTGGCTCTTTTTGCCACTTACAAACAGACTTTTATGTCAGGAAATGTTCTTTGAGCAAACTCTCAATGCACTAAGGTCAAAATTGTAAGACGTCTGATCAGAAAGTGCACATACCCCTAAAGTTGTTGTAAAGTGCCGTTGAGTCAGTTCTGACTCATAGCGACCCTGTATAGGGTTTCTGAGGAGCAGCTGAGTCAGGAGTAATCAGGACGGGAAGCTGCTGAGCTTAGCTTTGAAGAAAACTACCTGACTTGTTAATTTCCAGCTTTTTCTCTCCTCTCTGGCATTTCCCCTTGCTTGCTGTAATGTTTGTTCTTACTGCCCCGCTTTTTGGTATTTGTTTTTAGCCTCTTCCATGGACTCCCACAGAATCAGCACTGTACTGTAATCCACAAGGTTAGCAGTTCAAAACCATCAACTGCTCTTCAGACATCCCTGTGAGTCGGAACCGACTCACCGCATTTAACAACAGTTCTCATCAGATTAGAAACTAATGGGATAGGAACCCAATTTCAAACATCCCTAGCTTAAATTTGTTCTGAAAGCCTAGTTGAATATACTATTCTTCATCCTGCTGTATTTCACTAAAATATTTAACATTAGCTGCCATTTATGTACTTAATACCCTTTGCTTTGTTCTCAAAAACATCAATAAGTGTAATTTTAGTTGTTTGAATGATTTGCTCTTGTATTCCTCAGTATATTGGTCTTCTATATTAAGTAAAAGAGAAATACTACCTGTAAAACATACTTTATATTATTGTGACTCTATTTCCATTCGTTTTTATTTCAATCTGTGTATTCTTTCTGGTTTTTTTTTTTTCCCTACACAGCAAAGGACAAAGTTGCTCTTTTGATAGGAAATATGAACTACTGGGAACACCCCAAGCTTAAAGCTCCTTTGGTGGATGTGTATGAACTGACCAACTTGTTAAGACAGCTAGATTTCAAAGTGGTTTCATTGTTGGACCTCACGGAATCTGAGATGCGCAATGCTGTAGATGAATTCTTGCTCCTCCTAGACAAAGGAGTGTATGGTAAGAGATTTATAATCTTGGCTTATTTTATATGCACTCTCTAAAAGTATCTCACTATTACTGTATAAGTCGGTTTGAAACACAAGGTGGCAGTTCAAACTCACCCGCTGCTCCTTGGAAACCCTGTATAGAGTCACAATGGGTTAAGTGCCAACTCGACGGCACTTAACAACAATCATTGCATAGTCCAACTAAGCCTTTAAACCTTTTTTATATATAATTATCCACTGTTCTTATTAAGGAGCCCTGGTGGCACAATAAGGAGTTGTGCAGTGGTTAAGTGCTTGGCTACTAGGCCAGTGGTTCGAACCCACCAGCCTCTCCGAGGGAGAAGGATACAGCTTCCATCAGATTACAGCCTTGGAATCCCCATTGGGGTAGTTCTGCTCTGTTGTGTAGGGCCCCTGACTCTGAGTAAATTCCGCAAAAATGGGTATTTGTTCTTTTCATTGGACTCTTGGTGTGGCGCTGTAGGATCCTTGCAACCACAAGGTCTGCAGTTCAGACTCACCAACTGCTCCTCGGACACCCTGTATATGTTTGCTATTAGTCAAAACTGATTCCACGGCACTTAGCAACAACAGCCATTGTACAAGAGTTGAAAATTACATAAAGGTAAGGTATAAACACATTGTATTAAATTGAATTGGGAGTTTTTCTTATTTAAAAAAAAAAAATAGGCCTTCATTTATAGTTCCGTACGAATACCAAATTAGTTTAAGGTTTTTATTTTTATATGTCTTGTTTTGTCAAAGCAGTATCATTCTTAGCATTTTTACCTGTCTGAATTTGGGATGGGTTGGGGTTTGTTTGTTTTGTATTGACCACAATGCTGCAGTAACTGTGTGCGGTACAGCTGAACCAAGCAGCAGGAGACCCTTCCTTCATGTGCAGAACATGCTGTGTGGGTGTGTGTGTGCCCATGGGTTTCTAGGTGCACAGACACACCCCATGTTTTCAGACAGTCTGCTGGCTTAGTTTTTCTTCTGAGGATTGCATGCTATTTTCTGGGGTCTTCAGTGAGAACTAAAACTTAACAAGACATGTCAGTGAATAAGGCATATGAAAACATTTCCTACACTGAAGTTCTGTGCAAATACAGTTAAAGCTGCACCTCCACAAAGGTGGTGACTGGAGATTTTCATTCATCCTTTCACTTGAAGATGTAAAATACACAACACATCTGAGGGGGCTTCAAAAGGTTTGTGGAAAAGTGGGATTTTTTCCACAAACTTCATGAAACGCTTGGTGTGATAAAGAGACGGGGTGGGCTGTCAGTAGTAATTTGTTTCCCTAGGCATTAGCTCCCTTTGGGAGGCCCAGCTTCCGGGGCCCATCGGGGCCATATTTTACAGTCCTGTTGAGCAATACTATCTGGCTGCCAGGAAAGTGACATTTCCAGGCCTGTAGTCAGGCCGACAAGTGACAAACAACAAGTATCAGTCTGGCTTCCATGTCTTTTAAACTAGTTTAACGATTCCCCTGGTGTGGCACTGTGGGTTAATGCGCCAGACTGCAAAGCCACTTGAACTGCAAGGTTGCCAGTTCAAGCTCACCAGCTGCTCCTCGGAAACCCTATACAGGGTCACTATGGGTCGGAACAAACTCGACGGCACTTCACAACAACAACACAACAATTACAATCAGATAGGTAACACTGCCATAGCCTGAGAGAATTACTAATGTTTCTTAAAATGGGATTTTTAATGGAAAAAAATTTTTTTCAAGTTTTAACACTGTATAATATACTTGGGGTCGGAAAAATGCTTTATACCATTTATTCAGATTAGTAATTTATGTAAATCATAAAGATGACCAGTTGAACCATAAGTGAAGTCAGTAAGGTGAACTCCTCTGATTTAGGGTTTCATCCCTTTCACTGATACTGTAGTAACATCATTTTGCTTCTGAGTGTTACGGAGTGACAACTAGTAAATGCATTCATTTTTCATATGAAAACGTGAAAGAATAGCCTATACATGTATCCAATTTGGTCACTGATTTAGAGTCAGATTGCTGGATTCTTTTTATATTATTTGATTTGTCTCAGTTCTCAAGTTGGCTCCATATGTAAGCACCGGACCACAGTTTGAGCCCACCAGCCACCTCCACCTGAGAAAGACAAGGCTTTCGGCTCCTATAAAGATTTAAAAAGCCTCAGAAACCCTGTATGGGGTCACTATGAGTCGGAACCAACTCAAAGGCACTTAACAACAAAAACAACATACTAATATGATATGGCACCCTGGTGACACAGTGGACTAAGCACTGGACTGCTAACCACAGGGTTGGCAGTTCAAACCCACCTGCCACTTCATGGAAGAAGCATGAGGCTGTCTGTTCCCATAAAGATTTACAGTCTTGGAAACCCTAAGGAGCAGTTCTACTCGGTCCCATGTGGTTGCTGTAAGGCAGAATGAACTCAACGGCCGTGGGTACATTTAGCAAGATAGCTTAAAGGTTTTTATAAAATGAGAAATGTCTTTCCAAACTTTCCTAGAAGTATCGAGGTAGAAGGAGAAATTCTCACCAATTCAGGTATCTTTATTGATGACGTTTTTTAAGTTTTTGTTGTGAATTGAGCGATAGTTTACATGGGAGAGCATCAGCCTTACATTCATCCTATCGTATTTCGTTTCATTGCAATGATTACAATCCCCTCCGTGCAGCTTCATTCAACAGCATTTGCTTCCATTCCCTCTGGGTTTTTTCTCTTTTTTTGGATGTACACCAAAACACTCAGAAATATACAATTATTCAAACACCCAAAGGGCATGTCCTGAAAG